CCCAAAACAACTGTTAGTACACCTTGTCAAATGATTCTCCAGTTTCTGTTATGATACACACTTGCTACCAAACAACGGCCCATCTCTTCTTTTTTTCTGATGAAAACATTTTGCGCTTAATGACCAGTTTTACCTGCTTTCTAAGAAAAGCTGTTGCCAATGTTGTAAACAAGAAAATTAAACCTTACGTGGGACGGGATCTTCAGTTAGAGACAAAAAGTTGTTGTACAGTACACACAACTTGATTGTGATAAAGGCCATTTCCCATAAATGAACAGGGAGAAAAAGTGAATAACAATGGAGTGGCACAGTGGCTAGCATTGGTTCCTCACAACAATGGGGCCCGGGGTTCAATTCCTGAGGTGCTATCTGTGTTTGTATGTTCTCCCCGTGTTGACGTGAGTTTTGGCCGGGTGCTTTGGTTTCCGCCCACAGTCCAAAGACATACTGGTGTGTGAGTGTGTTTGTCTCTGTCTGCCCTGCGATGGACTGGTGTCCCATCCAGGGTGTACCTTGTCCTGTGCACGTTGCTTGCCAGGATAGGCTCCAGCTCCCTCGTGACCCTGAATTGGATGAATTGGATAACAATTGGACGGGTGAATAACAATTTTACTCTACTCAAAGAATAAAAAGACCTTATATAAACAAGCAGTGTGTGTGTACCTAATTGGCTGTCTTGCAGCCTACATGTGCAACTATTATCAGCTCCCCAGAGCACTGTGCTGATAAACACCGGTAACTCAAAATAAAGGAAACACCAACATGAAGTGTCTTAATAGAGCACGAGTCCACAATGAGCCGCCAGTACAGCTTTAATATGCCTTGGCATAGATTCTACATGTGTCTGGAACCCAACAGCGACACCATTCTTCCAAGAGAAATTCCATCATTTGATGTTGGTTGATGGTGGTGAAACTCCAGAATCTCCCGAAAGTATTAAACTGAGGTGAGACCCGGTGACTGGGACAGCCATTCAGTTTACAGTGCACTGACCACTCGAGCCCTGTGGGGCATATACATAAGTGCCATGTACTTCTCCACTTGTGGATAGGGGCATTGGCATCCTGGAAGATGACGATAGGATTTCCATAGGATGAAAGTGATCACTCACAATGGCCTTGTATTTATTTGCATTTACTTTGACCTCTAAGGGCTTCAGAGTACCTAAACCATGCCAGGAAACCACCCCACTCTCTAACAGAACTGCCAGAAACTGGGAATCAATCACTCGAGCCTCTAGCCTTCTTCTGGTGTGGAAGTGTTTGCATGACTCACGCTCTGTGCATTCCAAAATTAGTGCCATGTACTTGTCCATTTGTTGACAACAGGATGAAGGACGACTCATTTAACCATATGACATTCTTCCGCTGATCAGTAGACCACTGCCTGCGTACTTTGTAGCACTTTACTCACAAAAGTGAACTTTTGTGAACTTCCTGACGGACTGTACTTGATGAAACTGCCTGCTCGTGCCTGAAACTGACATTTGCAGTCAACTGATTCAGAGCTGCTGGTCTGTTTCGCCTTGCGTTCAGAAACAAAGCATTGACGTCACAGTCGAGGAATATGCGCTTCTATCCACATCTGCCCCTAGCTGATGTCTTTCCCTCAGATTTCCATGCCAATATCACCTCAGACATTGTTCCGTGCGAGACAACAGCATGTTGAGCAGTCTCCATCACTGAAGCTCCTGCCGAATGTGCCCCAACAACCACCCCTCTCTCAAAATCACTGACACCTCTTCTTTTAGCCATGATAGCCAAAATAATGGGCCGTGGGGCCTTCCCAGCATTTTTTCCCCTTAACCTAATCATGCTGGGATGTTAACTGCTTAATTAACCCGAGGACCACACCCCTGTGAAAGCACCTGTACTTTCTATCCCCCATTTACTCACGTATCCTTTATTTTGGCAGATACCTGTACATGTGTGTACTGTGGAAGCGTAACTAATAATATCTTTATCT